GCCCCAGCGCCATACGGCGGGTACGGCCAAGTCGCTCCTGCTGCCCCGTACGGTGGATACGGCGGCGGGGGCGGGGGCGGATACGGTGGCTACGGTGGTGCAGGTTACGGCGCTCCCCCCACCCAGCCATCGCGCGGGGGCGGCCGCGGCGGTGGCCGAGGAGGCGGACGTGGTGGCAACCAGGCGTCGTATGGAGGTGGTGGAGGAGCCTACGGTTCGTTCTACTGATCGTGCAGTCATCGCTATCCATTGAAACGGTTGACTTTCATTCGCTTTGTGATCTGCGTCTGGAGAGTGTGCGTGTGAGTGTCGGTTCGAGTCTCGGAGGTGGTTTTCTTCGAATCGAGTGGGTGTTGCTCCTACCGAGTGGACGTTTTGGCTCGGGAGGGGTGATGGTTATGCTGGGTAGGATGGAGGGCATAGTATTGCTGCGTCGACGCGGAGTGTCTAGTGAGACAGGAAACGGTGGGGCGATTTCATCGGCATAGGTCCAGTCCGACTCCCAGTTCCATCCCCAACCGCTCTGCTGCTGCTTATCCACCACACTTTCCCCCGAGAAGGCGTCGATGGACGAGACAAACGACGCCGCCGTGCTAGCGGAGCTCGACGAGGCTCTTGAAACCGAACGCTGTGTTATCGGGCGCTTTTGATTCTTTGAAGGTTGGTGGTGCAGCAGCAGCTTCTTGACCCGACTAGTGGCGGTTCGTAGCGACTCGATGGTGCGCTCCCACATGGTGGAGATGGAAGATTGATAGACGCAGGGGGAGGGGGGCTTTGTTTTGGAAGCGAGACATTCCAGTGCAGCTGAGACATGCTCGTTCTTATACTCTTATGCACCCCCGCTGGCGGCGCGTGAACCCGGAGTCTGAGGGAATCATGTCCACACCGGCCCAAAGCAAGGGGAGCATACAGCCCCTGGCCTTGGGCATTGAAGCGACCAGGCGGGCGATACGACGCAGCTTCCCGCTGCATATCGACGCCACGCGATCGCAAACACCGACTGAGCGCCAGCGCGCCGTTGGGCAGAGCGAAGAACGCGCTACAGACGGGGAGAGAGGGAAAATAGAAATTTGCTCAAAAAGCGGGCTGGCCCGCTGACAACGCCTTCCCGCTCCTCGAGAAAGAATTTTCCGGCTCGGGTCCCCCACACACACTCTCTCTCTGCCAAGATGGCCAATATTCCATGGATAAATTTGGCGCGACACGAAATCGGTGCTGATGATCTGCCGTGTCGGTTTCAGATTTTTTATTTTTAGTGGCGACGTAGCGCTCAACCTGACAGCTCTCCAGCCTAGTGTAAGCCATGGCATTGCGTCTTAGAGCAACATGCCGTCGGTGGTGGGAGGAGGGGTCCACTGTTCGAGCAGCTTCTTGACCACGAGCTCTGTCAAGCCGAGCTTGTCTCGCACCGCATGGAAGAGTCGCTTTTCGAGCGCCATGAGCGTGCACCACGACTCGCGATGCTCAGCCAACACCTCCAGCAGCGATCGCACCACCGGCTCGGGCGTGGTTGGGGATGCGGCGAGCTGGGCGAATCGCACGAGCGCCGCGAACTGTTGGATCTCCTTGCGCCGCATGCGCATCTTGCTCTCGGCCTTTTGCCGGTTCTTGCGCATCTCGCGCGTCTCACCCGCCACCACCACCGACGCAGAACTCGAACCGTCTTGCCAGCCGTCGTGGTCCTGCAGCTGGAGCGCAAGCAGCTCGCCTGCCAGCTCGGATGCACTGTCCAGCGCATGCTGTCGGCGACAGTGCTTGTATGCGCTCTGCAGCGAGGTCACCACCTCGTTCAGCACAGCACGCTGAAGCTTGGTACGGTGGTGGTGCATGGCGATCTTGGCTCGACCTTCCTCTCCCTCGCCATCTTGCTTGGCTCCGATGCTGGCGAGGGTAGGTGTGCAGGGCCGAGAGAATGTGCTGCTTGTGGGTGTGTTGAGCCCGAGCGACAGGTCCAAGAGCGCAGGTGAGGCCTCGGCGGGTTCGATGAATGCGTCGCATGCCGTAAAGAGGCTAGCCAGACCGCGGTGGGGCGTGTTGGAGCGCGAGCGCGCCGAGAGCGACGCCATGCGTCGGTCCACGAGGCTGGCCGATTCAACAACCTCGGGTGGGAAGGTGGAAGTGGCGGCCGCGGGTGCGCGTATGCGTCGGCACGGCATCGAGTTGAACTTTTTCGACGCCGACAGTCGGGGCGACGCCGGAAGCGAGCGTTGCACTCCCGGCGAGGGCGCCCTGCACGCACCGATCATCCGCACCCGGTCCACCACGCACGACGCTGCACTCGGCAGACTTCCAACAGTCAGAGACCGGCGTCGACTGCCACTAGGCTCGGCTAGGAAGCTCTGCGAGCTCGATGATGCTGTCGAGGCAACGGAGGGAGTGCGATACGGCTCGTACCGCGTGTTGATCGGACACGTGGCGGGCATCATCCACCCACCCGTCCCCGCGTCGGACCATTCGCTGTACTCGAGAACGCTCGGTGGTGGAGCGAGCGTCGACGCGTAAGGTTCGACGGGAGCGAGCACCGAGACTGATTCGGGGTTCAACCACCCCGGTGCGGGGATTGCCACTTGCGCAGCCATGTCCATGTGCGAAGTCGATGTCGCCGTGCGCGTCAACGACGCCGAACACACACATGCTCGTGCCTGGCTGGCTTGCGTCGCTATCGACGCGTGTTGGTGAGCGTAGGCTTGGGTGGTCGTGGTGGTTTGCGGGGAATTCGTAAAGTCAAAGGCGCTTGCAAGGCCGTGTGCGGGAGCGGCGAGCATCTCCTGATACGCCGTCTGCTTGTTCTGCTCCGCCAGGCTGTCGGTCTCGATCAGCGACGGGTTCGTCGGTGTTGCAGGTACCGACGGTGCTGATCCGACCGACGACGCGGTATGCGCGCTAAAGCCCACGGCAGGTAGCGCCTCGTATGTGCGGGCGCTCGCAGGCGAGTGCGTCAGCCCCGGCGTCGGCAGCGAGTCGTGCCTCGAGTTCGGTGTGGCCGTCACGTCGTGCGCGCCAAGCTGCGCAAGGCTGGGGATGCTGAGGTCCAGATCGATCGCCATACCTGCGGGCAGCAGGTCCATGTCAACAAACGCCGACGCGCCCCACAGACCATCGACAGTCTCGTTCTGCGGCAGCCATGTCGTCGCACTGCCCGCGCCATCTGGCTTGGCCCTCGTCCCTGCCAGCGTCGAGGTCGTGGGTGTCGAGTACGCCGACAGACCAAGAAAGTTGTCGCTATCCGCTGCGAATGCGTACTCCAGGTCGCAGGTGTTGGCTGCAAACCCATCGCTGGTGGACCAGATCCACTCGCCCTGACGAGCATTGCTTGCTGGTGCAGGTGCAGCTTGCTGCGCGGCCGTGTCGCCACAGTGGCAGATGTGCATACAGCTTGACTGCATCGTTGCGGGTATGACAGACAAGGGCGGACGTTCGAGATGAGCGAATACGATCGGGAGAAACAATGCAGCCACTTTCGAGGCGCACAATGTATATATGGCGTAGAAGCGTCGTCCCGCTGTCGGGGTACGTCGTATGCAAATCCCTGCCCTGGCTTCGGTAAGTGGGTAAGGCGGCTATGGAATCCACCTAGCGGGACGAGCAGAACAGAAGCGCCTTGTGGATGCCCCCTGGCCTCAGCCCAGCCGAACTTTCGTGGCAGTCAAGCGAGATGCCACTCTACGCGCACGCAGAGTGTGGCACCTGCAGCAGCTAAGCGCCAGCTTCCGCAGCACCAGGGAAAAAAATCCGAGTCGGTCAGAATGCGGAGAGCCGGGGCAGACCGAGCTCAGTCCGTCTGGATCGTCGCACCTGCAGCTAGACGCAGCCAATACCGTCTCGAACAGCAAGATGCCCGGCGCATGCACGTTCGCAGAGCGATCCACATGGAAGCCTCTAGCACCGCCGTCAGAGTTTGGCGTCTGCTCGGTCACTTGCTATTTGCGGCGACAAGCCCCCGCCTCCCGTTTGTTCCGGCTGACCCAAGCCAAAATCCAGCCTGCCTCACGCCTTGCCCTTGCACACGTTTCGTGGTTTGGCAGGCGGAGCTGGAGAGGAGGGCTGGAGATAGGATTCAAGGTCAGCGGGTCGCACTCTTACCCATTGTGCCCGCGCTGTCTGACCAGGGACCCACCGGCGACACACTCGCGACGGCACCAGGTTGTAGGGTTCGAACAACGACGAGCACTAGCGTAACACTTGCAGCGGTACGATCGCAGCGGACAATGTCGACTGCAGCGTCTGGCTTTTGCAAATTCACCGGCCTCAGCCCACGAGGCTAATGAGGCGCCTCGTGGGAGAGATTTGGCACGGTGCCAACCCTGTCGCTCGGTCAGCGTAACTCGTGGCTGTCTCACACTGCTCAGCGCCAGGCCTGGCCCTCGCTGCATTTGCCGCTTTGCCGCTTTTAGAAGGAGAGGCGCAAGTTCTTCCAATGTCTCAGCTCTGGGTTCGGTGCATGTGCTGAGTCGCAGTGGCTCAGAATTGCGCGCACCTTCCTTCTTGCCCCATGGATTACGGTCCGGCGGAAATGACCACAGTGGCGTCCGTCAGAACCTCATCCTCTCGCATTGCTCGTGAACTGCAGATCATGCACTGCAAGCGCCACTTTTTTCTTGGCTGCCTGCTTGCGCGTGCTGGGGTGGCTTGATCCACGCCGTGCTCTCCTGATGCTGATCGTTGGCTGGTCGCCCAAGCATGTGCGTGATCCTGGTTGGTCGCCGACGCACACATGCTCGCACGCTACTGCACGCACGCGCGGTCTCACCACGGCGGTCCTGCAAAAGAGCTGCGCGTTTAAGATTCTGCGATCGTCGCTGTGCACCATTGACCATGCATCTTTTCGCCTCGAACCCCTGTCTGCTCGCTTAGCGGGATCTGCAGGGTCCCTGTCGATCTTGGATCTGCCCCATGCGGACGGAACGGTAGTCGAGGTAAGCCGGTACCGGGTAATCCGTCGCACCGGGAAGGGACGGGACCCGGAGTCTGGTGGGTTGACCGCGCGGGCAGGTGCACCGAGCTGGTGGGTCACGGCGATCGCATAAGCACGAAAAAAAGCCAGCTCCAACCGCGATGACCACAGGCCTTGGCAGTGAGGAAAAAGGCCAAGGCGCTTGCTAGACACCGACGGGATCGGTTTCTCGGCCCGAAGCTACCAGTGTACGAGGTGGTGGAGCATGAACGCTGGGCGCGCGATATGACCTCAGCAGGTCTGGCAGCCATTGTGCTCAAGTGCCACTTGGCGCGACAGACGACGCTTGACGCTCTCATTGTATCGATTCCCTTTATCCGACGCTGCTTGACCCCCGATCTTTGCGTCTCCCTCCGTCGCTGCCAGACCTGTCGATCATCCAATCCAACCGGCTTTTGCCGCTTTCGTATGACCTTGCTGACCGATCATGGGCGCCGTCGTCCAAGTGTCGTTCCGATCGTAGGGGTCAAGATTGTTGTTGATCGGGGGACGCTCAGGGCCAATATCGTGGAGCTCATGGAGCTCAGTAGGCGCGAGGCATTGCGCATGAATGAACCGCGTTCACCTCCGCCCAACTCCGACGAGAGACTTGCGCTCGCCGACGACTTTCTGAGCATGAAGGGCTTGGCACGCTGCACATGAGCAGTGTTGAGGCTCGTGTCCACAGCGTCGGGGAATGAAACAGCGACCGCGTGGGAAGTCGCGGTACGAATGCACCCAAAACTTCCATGCATCGCGCGCGCGGGCGGAGTGCAAAGTGCCAAAACTGGCTCGTCTTTTGTGCTCTGGTGTTGACCGGGCTTGGCACGCCCTATTGTTCGGTCGCTCTGCGCCCCAACATTCAATATGTTCCATTTTTCTCGCCTTCGAATCCCGGCCTGAGGCAGTCTCGATGATGCCATCTTCCAAGGTGCGAGTAGCGTAGGGTTGACCCAATGCGGGTGTGCAGTTTTGGACAGTGCGGATCTCGCTGTGCCGAGAGGTACGGCTCTAGCCGAGTCGATTGACGGCTCGGAACTCGCAGTCCGTTCCGATAGTTCCTCCGCTTCGCCGATTGCCGACTGTCGTTCCGCGGCTTTGCACCGCTCCAGCAGGTCACCCGATACCAGATTTCTATCCCGATCACCGTGTCCGAAGCTGTCCCGCTCGCCGCAACCGGCGGATGGACTATGCAACGACATCGGACCTTGCAATCGATTCCCAAACACCGCTTTGCCAGCAAGGTCAACTTGCTCGCATTAGAACAGTGCTGGGTACGGCTCCGAACACCGCCGCACAAGTGGTTCGTGCCACAACCATGTTGATAGAGTGTAGCTAGCGCATGCGAAGTCTAGCTCAACGCCACCCATGCCTGAGTGCTGAAAGTTGGTGCGCTGCATCGCACGCCACAGCCAGTGTCATTGTGCATGTCTCCGTGATGCGCCACCGCCACCGTGTCTCTCTGCACTTGACTTTCGTAAATACGCGCACATGCTGGATCGAGGCCGATGTGCGGTTGGCTCGAGGTCATGCAGGCAGCAGCCAAGGTGCCATGGTTGCGGCCAGAAGGAAGCTTGGCATTTATTGTTTGCCGCATTGTTTGCGCTAGTCGATGGGAGCGGGCAAGTCCACCACCACGAAAGAGGAGAAAGGTCATCAACCCGACCTCGGCGGAAAGCACGATCTGCCCAATACGAGCAAGCAGACGTCTAGAGTAGGACGAGAGCCCGGCTTATGAACATGGCGGCAATCCATCCGAGACACGGCCGTAGACGGAACGGGAGCAAGACGCGCTCAAGCCCAACGTCAGCGCAAGGCAGCGGGGAGATGACGTACGAGACACCTGCTGACCAGGTTGCGGTTCATAAGCAGGGGCAGAAGTGGACTCTGCTTTTTCTACTGTCCACATACCGTCTGGGTCTCAATGCGTCCCACGAGAAACGCTGCTCGACAGAGCATGCATCGACGGAGGCTGAACATCCGCGCGGGACCAACTAGCTTGCGACGTCGTTTGCGGGTGAGATCCTTTGGACCGGATCTTGAGTCCGAGTTCATAGTGTGATGACGTGATGATGTGAGCACCTGTGTCGCACCTGCCGCCGGATGGAGATCAAGCCGACTGTCCGACTACTCGGCGTGCGACGTCGCAAGGACCACAGCCATAAACACTTGGCTCTCTCACTAGATTTTGCCTTGAACCCGATCCCAGCTCCGCGCGTGAACCATGTCGAACGAGTGCGGACCATGAAATACAGGCATCGATGGTATGTCGTCCAAGCGGTGCCTTGAAGGGCTCTGCATCGGATGCCGCAGTCAAGTGCAGAAAGCTTGGAAGAAAGCTTGGTACAGTCGGCAGCGATTCTGTGTGAGCCCTTGGCCATGTCGATGGTGCTCAGCGATCTCTCGGCGTTGAGCCCTCTCTGACGCACTACGAGATGCCGGGCCTATTCTGCTGCCATCAAAGCTTCTTGTGGCTTGGCCATCCTGAATGAAAGCTCATCTCGCCGTGTATAGCCATCTTGTTCTTGCCCTGTAGCATCGGCACGAGCACGAGCAAAAAGAGGATTGCATTCCGGCACCATCACGGACGCGAGCGCAGGCAAGAGCACCAACGACTGCGACTCGGCAAGGGCACGGGGACGAACACGAGTGCAGAAACCGACGGGACGAAGATGAGCGTCGAGCACAAGCACAAGCGCAACGCTGAGAACAACTTGGAATCTGCGCATGAGAACGAACATGAGCACGATCAAGAACATCGAAACGAGGACGAGCAAATGCAAGACCAGAGGAACGAATACTAGAAGGGAAGGAAGCGGAATAAGCTCGGTGGAGAGGAGATGCGTCCAAGCGCAAGCGCAAGAGCCAGCGTTTGACGTTGTCTGTGCTGATATTTGCCCATCCGAAAGACCGAGAGTGTGTGCAGCCACGAGGGTGATGCAGGGGCGGCTTGTGCGATGCGATGCTCCTCCAAGTCGTACAAGATTTTCCTTGCTCTCGACACACACTGCCCCACACTGGATGCCTCCGTTCGCGCACCTCCACTGTCTTTCCTTCGATCAGGAGCCAAGCACGACCACGACCTCGATCACTGGCACGAGCAAAGACTCGAGCAGGCGCAACGTACTAAAACCAAGGTGAGCGAGGTTGAGCGCCAGTACATCTCCCATCTGGCACAGTGCCAACGCCTGCATTACTCGCACAGTTCGCGAGCGAAACTCCTCCCACCCCCGCATCAGCCACTGTCACTACTCCTGCAGCCTCTCTCACTCGTTCGCACGTTGCACATCCCTTCTGTCATCACCTGCATTGCGCTTGACTACGGCTCGACAAACGCCCTGGCGACTTTGGCCTCGGCGTCGCCTACATTCTGCACGCTAACGCGCGTCTCGGCTGCAACAAAGGCGACCTGCCCCTTGGCCACGCTTACCTTTCCGTCTCCCTCGATCTCCACCTCACCCTCGAGGACCAGAACAATGCTGGGCCCGTCAACTTGGGCCTCTTGGACGACAGCGTCCTTGGCCAAGGTAGTGGTCACGACGCTGAACTCTGCGATGGGTGGATCGTACAACAACGCCTGTGCCGTGCCCTTTACTGTTGTGCTTTTGGCCCAGTGGGTCGGTTCGAGACGGCCGCGGTTGGAGCCAGACTGGTAGGTGCACATGCTGATGAGTGTGTCGGTGTCGCGCAGTTTCGGCGTGAGCCCGGCACGCACAACATTGTCCGATGCAGCCATGCACTCCAAGATCTCGCCCTCGAGATAGGCGTGTGGTTCGTTGGCCTGCAAAAACAGTGCCTCGCCCGGCTGCAGCGTCGAGATATTCAGCAGAAACGTGCAAAAGATGCCCACGTCGCGCGGGAATTCGTCGGCGAGCTTGACGACGAGCTTGCGCTCAGTCTCGCCCACACTGTCGACCCTACCGCTTGCAAAGCGTTCGGAAAGCGACTGTGCTAGCGGCTCGTATGTGCTCTTGGGTGCGTTCATCAGGTTGCCAAAAATGGTCTTGAGCGTCTGCTTGACCTCGTCACTCTCAGGAGGCGATGATGCAAGCGAAGCCACCCGTGCCACATCGTCGTCGGAAAGCTGGACGAGCTCAGCGAGCTCGGGGATGTTCTTGATGTAGGCGACGATTTCGGCGAGTGGTCTAAACCCGCAAAAGCCGCGGAAGGGAGTAAGGGCGATGGCCATCTCGGGTTTGTGGTTGGGGTCCTTGTAGACATCAGGCCTCTGAGCATGGAGCTTCTTTCCGAGAGCCTTGTCCGGATGCGCCTGGATGCTGAGCGCCTTGCCTACGCTGAGCACCTTGAACAGAAACGGCAAAGCGCCCGGTTCGCCGTCCGAGAACTTGGCCCGAACGCGCTCGCCAATCAGCTCGGGATGCTGCGCAAGATGCTCGGCCAGCGGCGTAAACTCGCCCGTTGCGCTGGATTCGGTGGGGATGATGCGCGAGGGCATAGACGGATGTGTGCCCATCCACAGCTCCGCATACGGCTTATCGTCGTCGGCGGTAAAGTTGAGCTGCTTGGTCGCGGCTGCAAACTGAGCGACTCGAGGCGCTTTGGAGCCTGGAATGCCCCAGTCGTACGACTGCACACCTGGGATCAGCTGAAACACGCGCGTCGGTGTGCTCATCTTGGTCGGTGTTGGCGAGGAGAGATGGTGGGAGAGAGCCTCGATGCGGTCGCGAACCATGGCCGACGAGACATGGACGAGCAGAGCCAAAGCGCGTGAATGGCCTGCAATTCCGGCCTAAGTTACTAGCCTTCTTGGCCGCAAAAACGTGCAGCTGAAATTCACCGACCAAGCCCGTGCGTTGCTGCGACGCAGCGACGCTGCGTCGTTTGTGGGCAACGCTCCCTCGCCCCTCGCCCCTCGGCACTCCACCCCGAGCCGACCGAGGCAAGCCAGAATTCATTATTGGCTGGCTGCTGCGAACCTGCATCGGCCTTTTCGCCCTCCGCGTCCCGAGCTCGCCGAAGCACATGCTGTCGCCTCGCCAACCGCTCCACTCATCCACACCGTCAGCGAGTTATCGATCTTCGGCACACCATCCGAAACTTGCGTTGCATTCGGCTAGCTTGGCCGGTACAGAACAGCTCACCGGTCAAGCCAAGTGAATAGCTGAACTACGAACTTGATCACGGCACACAATGGCGCACGTTGGCGCTAGCGAGCGGCTCAATCGTCGCCGTAGCGCTGGGGTGGATGCCGGTGCCGCACCGGCGGCGTGCGTCTCGCGGGTTGTTCGGGCGGCGGCGTCATGTCGGCTCCGGCTCCCCAATCACCGTCATCGGGCGGCGGAGTGTTTGCTCCCGCCGCTGCCCCTCCCGCCGCCGCACCTTCATTTTCTTCGCGGGCGGCCGCAGCGGCGTGTCCCGGACGCGCCACCTTGATTTTGATCTTGCGCATTTCGACGTACCGCTCGCCTTCGGTGTTTTCGACGAGTCGCACCTCTTCGGTCTCCTCGTACAGCTCGAGTCCGTCGCGGTCGCGGTCGGGCGAGCCTCGCAGCATGTCTTGGTCGTCCCGATCGCGCTTGCGTCGGTCTTGCTCCACCCAGTCGCACCTCAGTGCAAGGTAGAGCGAAAGCGTCGCACTGCCGCCCAGCAGCGGTGAGAGCATGAGCAGCCCCACGACCACACGCGCCTGCGTCTCGATCCAGCTTCGATCGGCCTCGTCTAGTCGCAGCGTCTCGGGGTTGGGCGTGTCCATGGCATCATCGTCGATCTCGGGCTCAAAGTCCCACGGCTCGCCCCAAGCCGCGCTGGGGCTCGCACGAGCTGCTTTCCACAGCCACACGCCGCTCTCGACGAGCACAAAGGCGGCGACGCTCAGCGCGACGCAGACGTGGTCCGAGCTGATGGAGCCCTGCGCTGGGTGGCGCAGGAACGTGGTCGGGAAGAGCAGCTTGAGCGTACGCCATGCGCGCTGCAGCGTCCAGCCGTCGTCCTTGGTCCGAGAGAAGCACGACGATGTGAGCCATGCTCGCAGCACGACGCTGGCCAGACCCAGTCCGAGATAGAAAGTCTTTGGGTCCTGCAGCGCCCGCACGTCAGGGTTGCTCCGGGCCAAGAGCTTTCGCAGCGCCTGCTTTTTGGTGAGCAGCATGGTGGGCGGCGGCGAAGGAGAGTGCCCCACGTTGCTGCCGAAGCGCGATCGAGGACGGCTGCGAGGGCCATGCTCGGCGACGCCGAACTGATCGTAGGCGGGGTACAGCGAGATCAAGAGTGGGAAGAGATGCATGATCATCACCTTGGTGAAGCTGTCTGGATGCTGCAGCACCGAAGACAGGCCAGCGAGAACAAAGACGGGCAGCCCGATGCGTTCATGAATGCATCGTTGCAGGATGCGGCCGACCTTGTCCATGAGCGTGGGTACAGGCGGAAGCGGCTTCCTCTGCACGGTCACGTTGGTGGAGATGACGCGCATGTCTGGGTCGGGCGAGTCGCGCGGAGTGGGAGGCAGACCCTCGCGCGAGGCAAAGTATGATCTTTGGCGTTCTGGTGCCACCATCATGACGCGAAATGGGCCCGCGTCTGGATCATCTTCGGGCGAAGGCTCGGGTGATGGGGATGGTGATTGGTCGAGCGGTTCGATGACGCGGTGCTTGGGCTTATGCACCTTGTCTGCGCGTGCGGCGAGCAGGTCGCGTGTATCGAGGCGGTACACGACGGCGAGCTGGAAGAGGTTGAGCGCAAAGCTGATGGCGACGAGCTGTCCGAGCGCCATGACGATCCAGACGTGCGGCATGCGCAGACGCTTGGACTCGTGGCGCAGGAAGAGCGCCCATGCACCGACGGTGACGATGCAGATCTCGCTGCTCCACCACCATGCGGGTGCGTCGCGGATAACCTCCATCCACGCCTCCTTGAACAGGCTCAGCGATCCCAGCCATTGCGAGATGCGCAGCAGGCGCAGGTGCACGGCGGGTGCAAGCAGGTGAGGCGCGTCGAGCCGGAATGCGGGTGGTTCCGGCGGCAGCAGATATCCGGTGAGGTGACAACGCTCGAGGTAGGATGCGTACGAGTGGCGCAGGAAGGCGATCATGTAGTACCACGTCGAGCCGAGGCTGAGCAGGGCGAGCAAGCAAAATAGCAGCTTGGCCCGGGCAGCGTCCGACTTGAAGGCCCAGGTGGCAATACGAATGAGCATGTCGGCGGCGGGGGTATCGGAGCGTCTGTGTCTGCGGTGTTGCTCGGGATGGAAGAGGGTGTCGTGCGCTTGCATGCATCTCTCGAACGACATGTCTCCGTGCTCGTTGAGGAGACCCAGCTCGCCTGACTCGGGCGGGGTGGTCCTGAGCTCGCCGTGCCTGCGTGTTGCGAGTCGGATGACGCGAAAGGCGAGGTAGAGATTGATGGCGAGGTACGTTACGAGGATGAGAAAGTTGGGCTCAAATAGGGAGCCCATGAGCGAGCGCAGGCTGGGATCGTGCGGCGACATGGTCGGTGCCAGATGCCGATCACCAAATGATGGCATGCTCGAAGGTTTGGCGGCGCTCATGGTGGGCAGAGAGCAAGGCTGAGCACGGAGAGTGCTTTCAGCTAGCAGTTAGGGATGGCAGAAGACCCGCGACTCGCCACGCCAGCCTTGAGCTGAGCCGCCGATGGATTGTGACTAGCGGCGCGCGCGCTGATAATGAGTCAGCGTGATCTTCGGGACGTGCCGAAAGGAGCGGTGGAGGCGGCCCCGCTGAATGTGCCTGAGCTGTGCCGGACTTGCGCCGAAGCTGTGACTTTGTCCGAAGAGGGAGGGATGGTGGGGCTGAGCTCGACTGCGGCCCCTTGTTGGAGAGCGAACGAAGATCGAGGCTCGAGATGGTCTCTCAGGGTCCAACACGACCTGCTTTGAAGAGCGTGAGAGAGTGGAGGCGGGTGAGTCTGTTGGCTCGTCGGCGCAATTTTTGTTCGGGACTCGGCGCGTGCTGCTCTCATCCTCTCTCACTTCCTCCTGGACCTCTTCGACCTATCTCGCTCCGCCTTTGCTCCGCCTTCGGCTCACCCGACCGTGTTCGTTCGATCCGACATCTCTGCAACTTAGAAAGTCTCAGCTCGCTATGGAGTCGATATCGCTGCCAGGGACGCTGCCGGAGCCGCTTCAGCGCGTGCATCTGGCGCACTTTTCGCAGCTCGACCCCGACACGCAATCGGCGGGCATCATCCGACGCATCATCGCGGCCTCGCAGCTTCCGACGTCGACAGACACAGGAGCGTCCGAGCTGGAAGTGCAGCAGGCAGATGAAGAGCGCGCCAGGCTCGACTTTGCGTTTCTCGATCCGACCAAGCTGTGCTCCAGGCAGCACGTGCTCACAGCGGTCACGCAGGCCGCCGTCGTGTGTGCGCGCAGCTGGGACGCTGACGCGAAGCGATTCCGCGAAGGAGAGGGAAGCATAGGCGGGATGAAGTCCAAAACTCCGCACTCGGAGGTGATCTATATGCTCAACCCAGGTAACAATGTAAGCAACCTCGACCGAGACCGTAGAGAGTAGAGAACCAGGCTGACAAGTCGTTGCAGGTGGGCGAGTCGTTGAAACGGTTCGGTCTGTCGCCGAAATCAACATCGCTGCTGCTGGTCAAGTTCTCCTCAAGCGATGCAGATCCGGATCAGATCCTCAAAGCGATGACCGAGGTTGTCGGTCCCAACCTCACCCTCCCCTCCACTCAGGCCGAGGAATCGGTCGATCTAGACCAAGCGATTCGATTCGGCAGGTACCTTCCACCCGGTGCGACAGCACAGCCCGTGACGGACTGGAAAGAGCTCAACAAGATCTACAAGCTCCAGATCGACGCCAAGCTGCTCGCTTCCGCCGACACACAATCGTGGCACCAAAGGTGCGAGGACATCATCTGCACTTCCGTCGCCATGAAGCTCGTGGCCGCATAACCGAATTCACAGCGCCACTTGGAATGGTTCGTCAAATTGCGTGTCTTGCCGGCGCGAGGGTCAGCGCGATGAAAGCATGGCTGTCGCAGAGCGGTGCGTGGACGATTTACTCGTCAGCCTCGGCCTTGGCCTTCTTGAGTTGTGAGAGCTCGCGTTGTCTGCGGATGAAGCTGTTGAGTCCAAACGGCATTGTCAGTATCGACTCTGAAGTGTTGTTGAGAAAGGGTGCGGGATTGAGGTGAAGCTTACTCGTCGTATTGGCACTTTTCGTATGTGTGACTATTCCACGCAACACCATGAGCGAAGTGAAGAGAGAGTCAGCAGCGAGCCCACCAGCCGCGTGTGAGAGTCTGAGTGAAGGGAGGAGGCCTACCGTTCGTCCTCGCACTTCCAGGGTGCATAGAGTGTCTCTTTCCTGCACTTGTTGAGCGGGATGAGCAGGCTGTTCGCATGGCAAAGCGGGTTAGTTTCTGCACCTCATCTGCACTGCTAGCCTGGTGGTTGGAAGTGGTGGAACGTACGCAGAGCACTGGTCGCGGTATCCGAGTGGGAGACGGGCGGCGTTAGCCTCGTCTACAGAAGCGGTATGTGTGTCAGCCATTGTGGGTGCGGTCGGAGGTTGGTATAGAGGAGGTAAGGTTGGTTGGGAGGTTCAATGGCGATGGACGGCTTGTGGGAAGCTCTCGTCACGTGTAGCGCTCGAATTCCGTACGAAAAAAAAGGCCTCTTGCGGCGTAACACGCTGGGGGATTTTTATGGCAATGACGCTGTGGAAAGAGCCGAGGCTCGGCACGAATCGGACACTCCACCTTCTACCGACCAACCACCATCTCGACCATGTTGCGCACTCTCGTTCGACGTGCACATGTGCACAAGCCTGGATTCAGGTTCCCAGACCGAAAAGCTCCCAAGGGTAAGCCACACCATCCTCTCTCCTCCTCTCATGACATGGGTAGTAGGTGCTGATGTTGCTGTTTGCATAGAATCGCATACGCCCCACCCGCACCCGGAAGCACCAGCAAGCGTGGTGTCCTCGTTCGACCATTTCCAAAAGGTGTTTAGTTCGGGTCCGCATTTCCACCCCGAGAAGCTCCAGTCTGCTCCGGCATCCAGCAGCAGCGGTGCGCAACAGGGCGTGAACATGGACGGAAGAGAGGCTGCCGAGGACATCCATCTGCTGCCCGAGAGGTTCTGGAAGACTCCCGCACTCGCCTTTTCGCCAGAGGAAATGGACGCCGTCATGGTAAGCCCCCATGCCTCATCGCTCATCGATCGAACACAAAGCTGACCAGTCGTGATATTGGGTGTGGCAAGACTGGAGGTGCCAACTAGACTAAAGATTTACGCAATGCACATTCGAGGTTACTTTGCACGGTTGACTGCAATCGCCTGGTCGGTGAGGCTCTTCAACCTGCGCCGGAGTCTGTCGAGCTCCGACGTGGCGCGAGTGTCCGGTTTGGATTTCCAGGTGCATCGGCCGGTGGGGCTGATCATTTCGGTGATGCAGAAGGCGACTTCGTATGCGCCGGCGCCGGGGCAGCCGTCTTTGCCGCGACCGTTGCGGCTCTTGCGCCAGAGCTGGCGGCGGATGTAGCGGATGCTCTCGTGGCGCGCGAGCGTCTGCATTGCCGTCCACTCCCAGTGGTGCAGGGCATGCAGCACCGCCGCGCGATGGGCGCAGTGGTTGCCCGCAAAGAATACGTGCCCCGCACGACCCTTCTCATCTCTACCCGCCTCGCGCCATGTCTCGGTATCGTCGCTCCGATCACTCGCCTCCGAATCCGAGTCTGAGGAAGAGTCGTCTTGGTGGGATGAGAGCGGTGCGAGTGTTTGCTGGTTGTACCGCGAGCCCGAGAACATCACGCGGGCTTGGGGCTTTTGCGAGCGGCGGTGGCAGATGCCACAGCCCTGCTTGGCGAGGCTGCCGAAGCGGTCGATCTCGTCGGTGAAGAGCGCCTCGACGTGCATCTTGGGGTAGTTGGTGAGGTACCATTTGAACTGGCGCCGCATGGCTACGCTGCCGACGCTCTCTTCGGTGGAGCGCGTGCGCGATTTGAGCGCCGCACGGTTGCGTTCGAGACGCTCCCGGTCCGCAGGGCTGAGGGAAGACCAGGTGACGAGCACGCGCGCGACTGCCCACTCGAGCCAGTCGAGGCACAGCTCATCCAGCCCCTTGCGCTGGCCGAGCCCGAGTCCGTGTTCGGCGAGCACCGAGGACGACGAGCCTGACACGGCGGCGTGTGAGTGGATGGGCATGAGTCGGATGCGGCCGTCGCTGTCCCGCTTGTACTTGCCGCCTTTGGGCATCGCCGCCGCCGCAGCAGCTGCAGAGGGCAGAGGCCGCGGTGCAGGCTCGGCATCGTTCGGATCGAAGCCCTCGTCGTACTCGATCTGGTCATCGCCGACGATAAAGTCGCCACTCGACGAAGATTCGCTCGAATCCCCGCTGCTCGTGTCGCTGTCTGAACCGCTATCTGAGCCGCTGGAGACGGACGTGGCGCGACCGTTTTGGCGCGATTTCGATGCAGCTTGATCGGAGTCGGATGCGCTCAAGCTCTCGCCGCGCTCGAGCTTGGCTTTCTTGCGCGCCTGAGAGAGCGCGGCGAGCTTGGTGCGATACTCCTCCTTGTGGCGTGGGCCAGTGGAGCGCGCGAATGCGTCCTCGTTGAGCTCGGAGCGCAGATTCTTGATGTCCTCGCCGCGTTTCTTGCCCACACCTTCGTCGCGAGTGCGCTCGACCGACCGGCTGCGCTTCTTCTCTCGACTCGTTGCAGGTGGCTGCGCGCCAGCCGACTGCGAACGGCTCTTGTCAGACTTGGACGGTTTGGAAGTCTGTCCGTTGTTCGAGTGCTGTCCGTTGGTGGTGGGTTCCGCCTTGACCTCGGCTTGCGAGGCTGATGCTTTTGTGCGAGGGGGAGGGCCGTTGCGCCGCGCGTCCTCGTCGCCCGAATCGCCGTGAAGGAAGAGTGGCCGAGTCTGGTCGGGTTGTGCGGATGCGGTCGAGGGGCCTGCGTGGCTTCCAAGGAAGAGGTCCTCCAGTCCATCGTGTGCTGGCTGTGCGGTCCGGGATGGGGACGCGATCTTGCGTGGTTTGGGAGGTTTGGGCTGGAAGGCGTAGAGCTGTCGGCCTTCGGACTCGTCTCGCAAGTCCTCGTCGGTAAAGTGGAACGGATCGACTTTGCTGGCGGAGCGATCGAGATGATGTAGCAGTGCTCCCTCGCGCTGCTTGCCCTTGGCCTTTGGCTCGGTGATCGTGCGCGGCCTTACGAACAGCAGCTCGTCCTCGGTCGGGCAGGGGTGCAGGAGCGGGATCTCGACCCAGCACGTCATCTTTGGCGCCGCCTCTGCGTCCCATACAGGTGAGAGGCGTGCAAGCGCATCTTGCTCCTGTTTGAGCGGAGGTTTGTCAGTCTGTGCTTGCTTGCCCTTTCCCTTTCCCTTCTTTGATGCGGGCGGCGTGGTGGTGGAGGTGGGGGGAGCGACCGAGGCGGAGCGCGTGCGGCTGCGGGTGGAGGAGGTGGAGAGAGGCTTTGTTGATGCGCGCACGCCGTCGGAGAGACGCTGCTTCTTCTTCGGCGCCATGGTGCGGTGACCGCTGCGCCCAAGCGTGTGTGCAGCCGGCAGTCGTTGGTGGTGGGTGGTGCGGACGAGTGCGCACAGGAGCGGGACTACATATGAAAATCCGAACAGCCGCCGCCAACCAACACGACTTTCCCGCAAGCCGGGCTTTTGAACGCGTGCAAAGCGGCTTAACATTCAGAAACCGCGCCAAAATTCCGATGCAGCCACCCGCAGGCACCTCACGCACCGCACGGACTCTCTCGGCGGTGGAGTAAAGCTTGGCCTCGAAGGGCGCATCTGCCGCCTTGCTACCAGCTCGCATTCATCATCTTTCTGCAAACGCTCAGCCGGATTGTGTTTCGACGATGGCGGCGCACTATCCGCTGGGCTCTTCGTCCACGCCTCCACTATATGCATCGGGATCTTCGGCAGCCGTAGCCGGATCCTCGTCGGCATCCTCGTCGTATCTGGGGCAGACACGGTCGCGGACGCTTCTCTTCCTCTCATACCGCGAATCGGCCGGTCCATCATCACGCGCGCGCGACCGCACCTCCAGCGCAGGTGACGTCTACTTCCAGGCGCCGTACACGGACTCGGATGACCCGCTAGGTTCTACATCGCTGAACCAACCGGGGCGGGGCGAAGAGTCCGAGTCGCATGGTCTGCTTTCACGCCGCTCGCGCGAAGGCCACATTGCACTCGCCGTTGGTGGAGAGGGTGGGTCGGAGCTGCCGCCCAAGTGGATGGATGTGTCGGATCAGGTGGACCAGATCCTCGTTTCGATCCGGCCGCGCATGGAGCGGCTCTCGCGTCTGCATGAAAAGCATCTTCGCCCCGGGTTCGCCGACAAGTCGTCCGAGGAGCAGCAGATCGAAGCACTGGCACTCGACATCACCAAGGACTTCCGACGATGCTCCCGGCTCGTTGCAGGTTTGGCCTCCTTTACGCAGCATCTGATGCGCGAGGCTCAGCGCAATCAGTCGGATGTGACGGTTCGACAAGTGGCTCTGGCGCAGAATGTCCAGACTGCCCTTGCCACACGGGTGCAGGATCTCAGTGGAGCGTTCCGCAAACAGCAATCGCTGTATCTCAAGCGGATGAAGGGTATGGAGGTGAGGGATCGAGATATCCGCGCCGCGCGTGGCTTGGCACCCCCAACGACCAAGGACGATAGCTTTCGTGATAGCGAGTTGGCGGTACGGGAGGATGTGGAACTGTCGCGGCAGCAGCTACTCGAATCTCCGTCGCAGAGCAACCTGTTGCTCTTGGACGAAGAACAGCAGCTGAGCACTGCGGATAGGGAGATCCAGCAAAGGTCGAGGGAGATTGATGAGATCGCAAAGTCGATCCAGGAACTCGCACAGCTGTTTGGAGATCTCCAGACGCTCGTGATTGACCAGGGCACCATGCTCGATCGCATCGACTACAACGTCGAGCTCATGAGCCGCGAAATCAAGGGTGCAGTGCACGAACTTCAACAGGCCACGACGTATCAGAGAAGGAGTGGAAGGAGACAGTGCATCCTCTTGCTCTGCCTGCTCATCGCCCTCCTCATTGCGGTCATCATCATCAAACCGTTCTGGAAGCTGTTCGCACAGTCACCACCGTGATCTCCACTCAATGCCACAGCTGTCTCGCACCGCACGCCTATGGGAAGTGAGCTTGATCCGTTGAATTCGGTTTCGATGTCCGTGGCACTGCATCGTGCCTTTGCGCCTATCCGTGTGCAGTGGGGATCTAGTCGTGCAGGGGCATTTCGCGATCAGCCTGGACGACGTCGGCGGCCTCGTGGGCCTCTTGGTCGGCATGGGCGTCGAGCTGTGCTGCGGAGCTCGGCTCGTGCGGTGCAGCCGACGAGGCCGCTGCAGCATCCTTGACCACGGGTGCGGTTCCTTCGAGCATCACCTGCTCGATCTGCTGCTGATCCAGTCCCGCCGGATCAGCCGCCTTGCCCGCCGCCACTGGATCGTGCTCACCCGGTGCTCCCAGCCCGACCTTGCCCTTGACGTACTCGACCTCGTGCTGGAGGCCGTCCTTGAGATGCTGGTACGCCTCGGCTGCGGACGACTGCATGGCGCGCAGGGGCACATGGTCGAACGCGTGCCTTCCTGGCTCAGCCACCCCGGCGCCCACCTCTTGCGTCGTGTTCGCGCTCGCGTCGACCAGCTCGGCATGTGCCGCGTCCTTGCCCTGCGCCCACTCGAGCGTCTGTACGCTCGGCGGGAAGTTCTTGAACTCGGCGAGATCGCGTGGGAACTGCGCACAGTTAAAGTCCCACCCCTTCCTCCAGCGCGCCTTTTCGCACGCCTGCAGCGTCCAGTCGGACCCGTACGTCAGCGGCGTATACCGCAGGAATCCCGCTAGCACAACGACGGTCACGACGACGCTGGCGATCAGTCGGAAGCGCGGTCGCAGTGTGGAGGTGGCAAAGTCGAGCACGACGGCGGCGACGAGGATGGAAAAGTAGAGCGCGGGCAGGTAGTGGTGCAGGAAGAGCTGGCGATGCATGAGGAAGAAGGGCAGATAGTGCAGCGCCCAGCCGAGCACGAGGAAGCCGCACGTCTGATCGTAGAAGCGCACGCGGCTGTCCTTGAGATCGCCGAAGCCGCGCTGCGCCCGAAGCATGAGCAGGCCGCGTGCGCCGAGGTAGGCGAGCACCGAGGCGAAGGCTCCGAACCACACAAACGGATTGCCAATCAGGTAGATCTGGCGGTGGTCCTTGGTCCAAAAGTTGATGCCGCGCTTGAGGAGCGGCCAGGTCTGCGGGCGCGAGTCGTAGGCGTGACGGTCGGTCAAACCGGCGTTGGTCTCCCACATGACGTTCTGCAGCTCCCAGAAGCGCTCCAGGAACGACGGACGGCGGTAGTTGACGCGGTCGATGTGCGCGTTTGCATCCTTGGGGTGCTCGAGCAGCGGGTGCGTGTTGGTCTCGACGTACCAGAGCGAATTGGGCATGGTGGGGTTCTTGTTGCACGTCACCTCCTGCTGGCCGAAGCCCCAGTCGGGCAGCGTGACCTTGTGCGAGAAGAGGTAGCAGCCGGTGAGCGTGTGGCGCAGGCGGAAGTGGGTGCGCAGCGCACGCACGCGCGTCGACGAGTGTCGGTCCCGCTTGTCGCCCTGGACGATCTCCACGTGGAAGTTGTCGTTGGCATCGCCACCGAAGCCTTCGAAGCCGTAGGCGGTCACCTCGTTCTGGTAGTCGCTCTCGGTCACGGGTGGGCGGTTGGTGTCGTGGCTGTGCAGACGCTTGTCGGTGGCGTTGTGGATGAGGCGGATCTCCATGCCGTGGGTGAGGTAGCGGATGGGCTCTTGGTGGAAGCGGCTCACCTCGTCCTCGGGGCGCAGCGGATGGCCCTTGTCGTCGAGCTTGGGAGCCGGGTCTTCGGGCCCGGGCGCCTTGACGATGAGCCAGTTGTTGTTGTCGTCCGAGTGCGGATAGAGCGTGATCTGCTGCTGCTGGCTGCCGGCCGGGTAGACGGCGGTGTGGGAGTGCAGGTAGCCGCCCTGGGTGTTGAGGTGCTTGATGGCGACGGTGGAGCCGAGCGCCACGTCGGCAAAGGTGTCTGCCATGCCGTGTCCGTGGAGCGTGTGCTGGAAGGCGCTGCTCATGAAGGGATCGCCCTCGCCGCTGCGATGGAGGAGGCCGAGGTGGATGGCAAAGGTGAAGAGGTAGACGAGGATGGGCAGGCCGATGAGGCAGATGGCGCGTGCGCAAAAGTGACGCGCGACCACACGCACGGGCTGGCGGACGTTGCCGAGATGCTCCCAGAGCTGTGCGATGACCGAGATGCCGATGGTGGCGATGGTGAAGAGGCCGACCCACTTTGAGCTTGCGACGGCGCCGAGGCTGAGACCGGTGAGCGAGAGGAGCGACCACCAACGGAGCGAGAAGGGCGCGCGCTTCTCCTCGTTGCAGAAGGCGACCCAGAAGTAGATGGTGAGCGCGGTGAAGAAGACGAGGATGGAGTCGAGGAGGATGAGGCGGCTCTGTGCGGTGAGCGCATTGTCAAAGAGGACAAAGAGCGCACCGAGGGTGGCTGTGGAGGCGCGGAGGGAGAGGCCTCGGAGGGTGAGATAGGCCAGCGGCACGGTGGCGACGCCGAGGAGGGCGTTGAGGCCGCGCATCATGACATAGGGGACGGGCGTGTCGTTGCCATGGAGATACTCGCGTCCGATGTCCTTGAAGTCAAAGTCGCCGTTGAAGCCGCCGAGCCAGGCTGCGAGGGTGATGAGGAGCTTTGCGAGCGGCGGGTGGACGTCCATGAAGAAGCGGCCGTGGATGTACTTGGAAGCAAAGCCGCCAAAGTGGACCTCGTCAAAGACGACGCTCGAGGGCTGACCGAGGCGGTACATGCGGACGAAGAGCGCGAGGATGACGAGGGCGGCGAGGATGCGATGCTCCTTGGCCGAGACGACGTTGGTGGCCGCAGCGGATGCGCCTGGTTGGGCGCCGATGCCGAGACCGAGGCCGGTGGTGTGCATGTTGGCGTGATTCGAGTAGAGCTTGCCCGACTTTATCGGGGTAGAGTCGTTGGCTGATCCGAGCTGGGTGCCGCTGGTGTAGAGCGAAGGCTTCTCGGAGTGAGGTGGCGGCGGCATCGGCGGCGGCGACTGCTGCTGCTCAGCGGCAGCATGTTGCTGTCGAGAGCGCATGCTGCCGGCTGTCTGGCCGAGAGAGGCCATTTCGGACGATCAGCAGCGGCTGGCAGAAGCAGACGAGAGCAGCGGATCGATAGGACCTTCCGAGTCGTCGTTGAGTCAGCGCATCGGCTGTTCCGGAAGAGCTGATGAGTGATGGTGTCGGATGCGCCGGTGAAGGAGGATCGCTGTGATTTGGCTTTGGGTCGATGGTCGGCGTTGGCGAAGGATGGCGCGTGCGGGCGAGCGAGGCAGCCTCCAACTGGAAGAAAAGCCGAGCCCAACACTCGTCGCTTCGCTGCACTGCGCTGCACTGCACTGCCCTGCCCTGCCAGGCCCTGCTGCACGCCGCCGAGCCAACCACGCGCATTCGCATCGCGGCCCACGCGCCGAGCCCGGAAAGTGTTGCTGTGTACAATCTTACATCTGAACCTTTCGCGCGCCGCTTCGTCATTGATTCCTGCACGGCCAGCTCGCTTGGCTGCGATCTCGGCAAACCCTCGCTGTCTCTGCCAGGCGCTGTTTGGCGGCTCAGACGGCCGACTCAGCGACTCACGCTCGGCGAAATATGACCTGTGAAATGCACGCTCGCCCAGGCTTGCATGATGGGCGCCCGTTGCCAGCTGATCTGCAGCGTGCCTCGCTGCACGAATCGCCCGTGTTGTGTTGATGGCTTCCCACCTCCATCTTCTCCTACACTCCTCCGAAATGACGGGCCCAGCTAAAGAGGCGGATGGCCTGCTCATCGATGGCCGGCTGGTCAACGACGACACGGCGGCAGCCTCGGCGCTCTCCGACTTTCTGCGCTCCAACACCGAGCCCATCAGCCGGCCGTCGTCGGCGGCCAGCATGCGCATCCGCGTCGACAAGCCGTCGAGCGAAGCCATCAGCGGCCGCGCGCTCTACACGCACGTCCCCACCGGCTTTGAGGAGGATCCGCTGCTGCATCCCGACGACCAAGACGTCCAACCCGGCTCGAGCCGCTCGCCCTCCTCGTCGTCCTCCAGGCCATACACGAATGGCAACGCCAAGCCTGGGCATCCGAATCGTCGCTCGACGCGCGATAGCATCTCGACGACGTTTGCGCGCAGAGGAGGCGCACCTCCCTACTCGCGTCCCACGCTGTACTCGCGCGCGCGTCTGGTCGTCACCCAAACCACCGCCAACGTGCTCTCGTCGTTCTTCCTCGTGCTCGTCGTAGTGTGGGCGCTATCTGTGCGGCTGCTCGCTGCGGTGCCCAAGTTCTTTGCCCCCTCAGTGGCGGAGCAAAAGCAGTGGGATGATCCCAAACGCTGGCGCAAGGAAAAGCTCGTCAAGGACGTGCGATACTATGCCGCACAGTGCGGATTCGAGATCAGGAACGAGACGGTCGAGACGCAGGACGGATACTTTTTGCGCATGAACCGCATCATTGATCCGCAGACCACGCACCTCAAGCACTCGGACGGCCGCGGCGGGTTTCCCGTGCTCATCATGCACGGGCTCTTCCAGTCGAGCGGCTCGTTTGTCACCTCCGAAGAGAGGTCGCTTGCCTTTTGGCTTGCGCGCCACGGAGGATACCAGGTGTTTCTGGGTAACAATAGGGGCGTCTTCGATATGGGTCATCGCACCTACAAACGATCCGATCCGAGGTTCTGGGACTACAACATCCGCGAACTGGCCATCTACGATTTGCCCGCCATGGTGGACTATGTGTGCAAGGAGACCGGGTACGATCGCATCGCCTACATCGGACATTCGCAGGGGAACGGAACCATGTTCATCTCGCTCTCCAAGGGCATGGTTCCCGAACTCGGGGCCAAGCTGAGCTACTTTGGGGCGCTGGCGCCTGCGGTGTATGCGGGGCCGCTGACGTCGTGCTTTCCGTTTACGACGCTGGGACAGTTGGAGTGGGGCAGGTGGAAGAGGTTCTTTGGAGTGCTGGATTTCATCCCGCTCATGAAGATCTCGTACGACTGGACACCGGCGTATCCGTATGCGCTGCTGGGCTACCAGATGTTCGCCTTTCTCTTTGCATGGACCGATGCCAACTGGCTGCCAAGGCGCAAGGCCAAGATGTTCCGCTTCACGCCCCAGCCCGTGTCGTCGGCATCGATTTACTGGTGGGCTGGAAAGGATGGCTTCGCCACGCGCGGATGCGTGCTCGACCCGCAACTCGAACAGTGGTGGGATGACAACTTTCCTCCGCTCGCAGTGTACAGTGGCGGAATGGACTTTTTGGTCCTCACGGATCCCCTGATCGAACGCATCGAAAAGAGGGAAAAGACAGTCAAGCTGCTCAGGTTCAAGAGACAGGACGAGGCCGAACACTGCGACCACTTCTGGGCCGCCGATGCAGTCGAGTGGTGCTTCCACGACATCCTGGAGGACATCGAAAAGACAAGACCAAGGTATCCAGAGGAACTCGAACAAGACGCCCTTGTAGACGTTTAACGCTCAGACACACAAGATAGAAAACAAACGTGTGTCAACCTATAGATTGCACAGCTGTGATTGCTAGACATGCGTGAATGTGAGTGGTGAGAGTATGTCAGTCGGAATCCGAGTCGGAATCCGAGTCGTCGTCGTCGTCGTCATCCTGAACGTCGTCGTCGGTGGCGCTTTCGTCGTCCGACTCTTCATCCACTCGGCTGCTGGGCTTGACCTTCTGGCCCTTCATGAGTGCCATCTGGCCGGCGAGACTGTCTTCTTCCGGCTCGCTGATGTCGTCCTCGTGGTCGTCGGCCTCGAGCACGCTCGCATCCTCGACGCGCAGCTTGACCATGCGCGATGCATCCGATCCCAGGAACGAGTCGCTCTTCAGAATCGCCTGGAAGGTATACAGACCTGCCTGGGGCGGTGCCTGGAACTGGACCGAATACGTGCGCACCTGGTCGGCACCCACGTCGCTCACCTTGGTAGGCTGCACAATCACGCGGTCCAGCTTCTGGTCGCCGATCATGACCCACCAAGACGGCTTGCGCTCGTCCCAGAAGTACGGCGCACGTGCGAATCCGATCGGCTGCTTTCCATCGTCCTCCCCGCCCGTCGCCGTCTTCTTGTCCGAAGCTTCTTCGTCGTCGGGACGGACGCTGCTGTCGTCGTCCATCCTCTTGGCATCCAACCGACGGCCGTCGCGCAGCAGACTGCCGTCCTTCTTGGGAGGCAGCAGGCGCAGCTTGACGACAAACTGCACGATCGCGCCCGTCGTCACCAGCCGTTCGCCCGACACCTTGAAGAAGGCGTCGACGAGCTCGATGCGCGGCCAGGCACTCGTCACCGCCACCATCTGGTCGTACTGCTGTGCCGACACGCCAGCGCCCGTGAGAACCGCCTTGCGCTCTGCATCTGGGATCTTCCAAAAGCCCTGCACGCCGAGCTTGGCGAGCGAGTTGGACTGGTGCAGCTTGGCGACGAGCTCGGGCGTCATGTGCGGCAGCTGCAGCAGCTCGGCGGCCGAGAGATCCTGCAGCGGCACCGCCTGGACCATGCACTGCGTGATCTGCATGAGCAGCAGCGTCGTCTCGAGCCAGTTGTGCGCAAGGCTGATGGCCATGAGTCCGTTGAGCAGCTGCACCGCCTTGGCGGCGTAGCGCAGCTTCTCCTGCTCGATGCGCTTGTCGCCGCTATCGATGCGCAGCGTGTGCGCGTAGAGCAGCACGAGCGCCTTGCGGATCGAGGCGTTCTTGAACGAGTCGATCAGATGCCACTGCGGCCCGTACGCGTCCAGGCGCTTGCGCGCCTCGGCCTCGAGCTTGGCGAGCGTCGCTTCGTCGCGGTGGCTGGCACCGAGCTTGTCGAGCTTGGCGTCGCTGAACTCGTCCGAGATGGCGAGCAGGGCGAATACGCGCGAGGCGTCCGTGTCGTCGCGCAGGTGCTGGAAGTAGGTCTGCGCGGTCGAGTTGACGATGCCGTCCTTGGTCTTGGAGCGCGAGCCGTACCACCAGCGCGCCACGAGGAAAGGCAGACCGATGCCGAAGAGGATGGCGTAGATGCCGAGCACATAGACGTTGTTCTGCGACTCGATCACCCAGCGCGGCAGCGCGATGCCCATTGACATCTCCTGCTTGCCGTCCGGGTGACCATAGAGCTCAAAGTTTTTGCGGATCGTCTCGTCGGTGAGCGCCTTGTAGGCCTTTGTGAGTTCAATGTAGTGCGACTCTGCCTCTTCCTTGGTCTGGTTGTCGGCGAGGACGAGCTTGTCTGGGTGGAACTTGACCGAGAGGCGCTTGTAGTGCTTCTTGATCTCCTTTTCGGTGGCGGAGGCGGCGATGCCGAGGATGTTGAAAGGGTCGTACACGGCATGGGACGAGTTGGTGGCGGTGTTGAGGATGGTCTGGAAGAGGTAGGCGACGACGCCCCAGCCTGCGAACACAAACACGGCGCGCGGGCTGATCTGCGGGTTGAGCAGCGAGCGTTTCTTGGAGGAGCGGATGAGGTCGATCTTCTGGCCGCGCGCATCCCACGAGCCCTTGGCGGAGCGATGGGAGCGCGAGGGGGCGAGCAGCGAGTATGTGAGGGGCACGAGGACGAGCAGGAGGAAGGTGAGGACAAAGGTGAGGAACTGGCCTCCCTCCTCGTCGTACTTGTACTCGGCCATCTTGGCAGCGGCGTCTTCCTCGACGGCTCCAGGATATCAGCACGACGTTGTGTACTGGGTGGTAGGATGCCTTTGTCGTCGTGTGTTGAAGGTGCGCGCTGCAGGCGTTGTTGAGCTCCCAGTCGGTGTGCTTGAGGGTGGTCGTGGGGGGAGGAAGAGAAAGTGGAAGTGCAAGGAGGCTCGTGCTTTGGCTGATGCGTTGCTGGGGCTCTCTCTCGGTGCCTCTCTTTCGGTGCGCCTGGAAGAACGGCCGATGAGGTGCGGTGCTGCATTTCTCATTTCTGCGTTGGCGCTCTGCAGCAGCGATGAGCTGGAAGCCCATCGGGAATATTCGCCAAGATCGGCATGGAAGAACGTCCTCATCGCCGATAGTTGCCCTCCCCTCTCCCCTCGAAAGAGAACGCGCGGCTGAGCAGCTGCTGACGCGTCGTGCGTTTTTGGTGGGCTGCGAGACGCAGTGTGAGATCAACACTGCATTGCGCAGGAGACACCATCCTCCTCCTCATCACCATCACCTTCATCAGCGCGCTGCCTGCACTGCACGCCTCCGCTGGAAGCGAACCAACTCGCAACCATGAGCTGCAACACCGCCAACGAGGACCGCGACAATCGCGACCCTGCACCAGCAGCAGCCGCCTCGTCTGGCCTCTCCGCCGTCGATGGCGATGCCACCAGCCTCTACGAGTACATCAACCGCGACAAGGTCTGGGGCGCCAACCTCGATCCGCCCGAGTCGGCCAAACACGTCATCAAGCCCTGGGACCAGCGCCTCACCGCAGAGCCATCTACGCAGTCCAATGTCGACGACCAGATCGCCATCACCGTCCCCTTCACCTGCCCCGTCCGCCTCAAGTCCATCCTCATCAACACCGGCACGGGCGACTTTGCTCCCACGCGCTGCCGCGCCTTTGTCAACCGTCCTGATGGCGTCGATTTCGACGATGTAGACGATGCCACCTCCCAAGATCATCCCGCTCATCTCTCGCCGCTCGCCGCCGCTGCTACGCTCGGCAGTGTGGCGAGTGGCAGGGCGCAGGCCGACTTTGCGCTCTTGCGTGGCCAGGACGGCGTCGTCGAGTATCCCGTCAGCGTGGCGCGCTTCTCCCACACCACCTCCATCACCATCGTCCTCTCCCACTCCAACGCCACCACCCTCTCCCGCTTCTTCTACCTCGGATTCCGAGGCACCGCGCTCGTTCTCAAATCCGAGCCCGGCGAGAGGCTCAACATCGGCGCAGCCAACGCGGCTGACCGTCCCGTCGATGGCGTCCGCGAAAAACGCGGCGCAAGCCAAGGTCTTGCCGGCGGAAGCAGCAGGAGCCCGCGCTACGTCGTTGCCAGCCCTCGAGCCGCAGAACGCATCGCAAGGATGGCCGAGGGCAGTGCGTCTCCCAACAGCAGCAGCCAAGGGACGCCGCGACGCTCACCCAGAAAGAACAAGGACGCTCAGCACGCCGACTCGCCCTCCACGACGCCCACGCGCAAGCGCACACGCCAGTCATCGGGCGCTACTGACGCCGACGACGACTCGACAACGTCCACGCCTCGTGCCGCTAGCAGCGCAGCCAACACACGCACTCCGGTCAACCCGCCGGCTGCGCTGCGCGCGCCGCACACCGCACCATCCGCTCGCGGACGTCCTCCACTCGCAACGCCCTCCGCGTCCGCGGCCACCTCCTCGCGCGCAGACGCAGAGGCGCGTCAGGCTGCGTCAACAGCATCGACGAGCGAAGGCGCACCGCACCGCCGTCGCTCGCTCTCGCAGCCGCCACCCAACGATGTGCTCCTCCGGCAGCTGCAATCCAGCGTCATGACGCCCTCGGCAAAGCATGCGTTGGCCAACACGCCCGCTCGTCGCATCCTCGGCACGCCTCGACGCGCGATCCCCGGTTCCGCTTCCGCATCCGCCTCCAATCCGTTTGCCGCCGACGTGCAAACGCCCGCGACGGACAAGCGACGAAAGCGCGGCAACGATGCGCTGCTTGCGAGCGCGCAACGCACGCGCGAGCGACGCCAGTCGGCACGCAAGAGTTTGCTGTGGGGCGGTGTGGGCGGCTGGGCGGGCGGGCGCGAGGAATCGCCCATGGACCTGCTGCGGCGTCTGGCGCGCGCGCCTGGATTCGTGGCGCCACCCACGCCGTCGCAGGACTCGATCGCCATGCCTCCGCCGGGCGCACGACTTGGCAGGGCGAGCAGCGCCAGTGCAGCTGACGCTTCGACGTCCAGCCTCGGATCGCGCGCACGGGATCGGGCGCGAGACAGCATGGCGAGCAGCTCGACGCGCTCCAACCGCTCGTCGCTCGCGAGTCGTGCGACGATGCTCGTGCCCGGCGAGAGCGTGCCTGGCGACCTGACGCGCGACAGCAACGTGAGCGACTCGCTCGAGGTGGACGAGTCGATGGCGTCGATCGGCTCGCCCGACGAGCTGTCGCGCTCGCGCCTGTCGGATATCGGCATCCCGCGCAGGACGTCCGGCATGGGCATGGTGCGCGGCGGCATCTTTGCAGCCATGGCGGAACGGCCCAAGCAGTCGCGTGTGTCGACGGGATCGCGCGTCTCGTTTGCAGACCAGCTCTCGCCTGCCTCGATGCGCTTCGACGACATGTCGAGCCGCAGGGAGGACGAGCTGGAACGCTCGCTCCACCCGTCGCGCGGCGCAGACAGCTTCGTGTCGGCGTCGGGCATCGACCTCGCCACGCAGCGCGCCATTGCACGCCTCGACGATCTAACGCGCCGCAGCTTCTTCTCGGACGATGGCGGCCTGCACCTCGACGAGGACGACTACGACACGAGTGCGGATGCAGACGCGCGGCGCAGGAGGAGTGGGGGCAGGTCCATGTCCGAGCCGCTCGAGGGCGAGGCGGATGGCTCGATCGTCGTGTTTGACAATCTCGACGACGGGTATGGCATGGATGTGGAGATTGAGGAGGACGAGGTGTCGGATAGCCTGGCGATCGAAGGCGAGGACGATTCGGACGGCGAAGTACGCAGGCTTGAAGATGGCTCCTTGTCGCGCGAGGCGATCCAACATGGAGACGCATCCCACAGTGGCGACGACAGCCGCGTGTCGCGCGTCTCGTTTGCCGAGCAGGACGAGGTGTCGTTCCAGGTGGACGATGCCTACTCGGATGACGACGATGTGCAGTACGGTCTGTCGTCGATGCAGGAGGAGCTCGAGGAGGAGGACGAAGAGGAGGGCGATGAGCGCGATGCTTCTGCGCGTCGACTCGACCTGCTGGATGCCAAGGACCTGAATGCGCTGCTCAAGCGGCGCATCGTCAAGAAGCGGCGGG